AAAAAAGTTGCGATCGAGCGCTTAAGATTTTATGTCGAGCGCTCGAGGTATTATGTTGAACACTTGGGATAATTAACAGGTTGGGAATCATCCCTCAAACGAGGGATAATCCCGCGTTTGTGGGTAGATACCTCTTTACATGGATAAAAATGTCCCGCATTTGAGGGATGATCTGGAATGAAAACACATAAACTGTTGTGGAGCAAATGTCACCAAAAAGGGGTTCATTCTGGCAACATATTCACTTACTTTGTACACAAACGTCCATTTTAAATAAACATTACATGCCAATTTTTTTTTTTATATTTGACAAACCGCTTCAGTGACAATTCTGTCCAAAGCACACAATGTATACTCGTTTGAGGGATGATTCCCAACCTGATTATATAGAAAACATCTTGTGTATATAAATATCCTAAATCTACCACCGTACCTATTCAATGCGGATTTGGCATCACAATCACTTGTTTCAACACCAATATAATCAATAATTATATATATGCTGCATCCACCACATGCACGTTCAAAAAGAAAGTAAATTAAAAATCCTACACAAAGTGAGACGTTTCCCCTCCCTTATTAATGAGAAACACAACCAAAAGAAACAAAATTATCCCGTGATAGACGCCCAGGCCGACGAAACCGGGTATGTCGAAACCAGGTACACTCACGTTATGTAAATATATTCAATATATAAAGTATAAATACGTAACATGTCGATCTTCGCACTCCGTGGACTTTGCCTTGTGCAACACACTTTTCAAAATATATGCCTAAAAACAATATTAACAGTAAAAAAAAACACCTACACAGCTGCGAACGCAGATGCTGGGACAACCATGTCCGCCGAGACTGCCACCTTTTCCTCGGGCCCCGTTTCCTCATCCAACAGCATTATGATAACGATTCCAACACATGCAGCTAACGTTAGCTCAGCCGAATCCGCCATATTTGTTTATTCTGATCACTCGATTAAACCACGTGGAAGAGCTCTTCCGGAATACCCTCTTCCTCTTCCGGAAGAAGTAAATCGTGTCGGGCTCTGGGTATACTGGCGATAACACTGGAATATTGCACTACCCAGAACACTCCTAGAGGCATACAGTTTCCCGGTGAGTGTTTTTTACAGAAAAGGAAACAGGAAGAAGTCACAGGAACTTAGATCTTGTGAAAAAGGTGGCTGGTCAATCTGTGCTATATTTTCCTGCTTCAAAAACGACAGTAAATTTTGCGTTTATTGGATGTCGTGAAATAGCTTGATGTCACTCAACCCTTTATTTGAACGCTTTTTCATCCACATTGTATAATCTTCCTATAGGCTTCACCACTTTTTCTCTGTAAAATGTGGCAGTGATCGTTTCCCTTCGTTGCACGGTAATTGAACCAAAGGCCCGCTAGAATCGAAAACAAAATGGCACACAAAACGGTATTGGCGCCTTTAAAACCTCTTGCATTTACTGGCCTTGCTTGATTTCTCGACACCCACCGCTTTCTTTTAATACGTCTGTTGGAAAAAATACACCCAGGTTTCACACATGTAAATAGCTCAGATAACTTTCTTGGTCGCAATTACTGTACGTTTTCAATATCTTTAGCACATTTAAAATAGTTTGGCTTTTTGTTCAGATGTCAGCAAATGGGGCATCCATCGGGCACACAGATTGTTCACTTTCAAGCACTTGGTCAGAATGTGATGTGTACTGTCCTCTGTAACGCCACACATATGAGCCATCTCAGGCACAGTATAACGACCGTCATCCTTAGTTATTGCTTTCATAGCCACACTATTTCTCTTTGATGCTGCAAAACCTAGCATACCTTGCCATTTGTCCTCTTTGATGTATGTATTATAATGAAATTGACAAATGAAGTTTTAAGAATACTCATTATAAATAAGCATTCTCAATTATAAGTGAATAACGTAGACAAAATCAAACTGCAACGCTTATATAATGCTATCACTGTAACCTGGGTTCGAGATAATAACCGTACTTAATTAAGTTGGCCTTGTTTCTAACTTTCTCTTCTGTCTTCCAATCGAATACGTGATTCATGCTGTGTTATGTAAAGGTAACACAAGTATCTTTAATTACCAATTCTGTTTTTAAAGTTCATGCAGGTTCAGAACGACAAGACGATATCTAACTGTGAACTCATGTAGCAACATTCTAGGTAAAATTCAGCGTTTTATAACTAAAACAAATGATATCTCTCTCTCTTTCTCTCTCTATTCATCTCGTCTCCCCCTTGCACATATCGCAGACCCTCTTTAGCTCATGTTGCACCCGGTGTGAAGTTATTATGACATTATTGTTTGATGCACCCATTGTCTCGAAGTCTCTTTCACTGAAGGAAACTCCTGATATCGGTTTTCCCCATATGTGTAGGTATTGCTTTTGACATTTGGTTAAAAGACTTTTGCCAGAATTGCCATTTGTTTTAAAGACTTTTGAAGAAAAACGTCTTCTTTTCTTACATAACATACGATATGAATTATTCATTTACTTAAAACACATTCTGTTTACGCATCGTGTATTCGATATCACACTGTCTCTGTAGCTGTGGTATCACTGTCTGTACTTTTAACATCCTGAGGAATACTTTTAATTCTATCATCTTTAAGTTTATTGAAATGTGATATCCATCCAGTGAAACCTTCTCTGTCTATCGGGTCTAATACAAAATGGATTAGGAAAACACTTAAAACACCAACAGCTGAAAAGAGGAGAAGGTCTCCTATAACGGTCACCAGTGGGCTGTAGTCCGCTTCCTCTATTGCCTTTCGACACTCCTCAACCATATTCGGAACACATCTAGTTAAAGCAGCGTTTTGAACACTCCTCAGATAAATAAATTTTGCAACAAGACCTATCAGGACGAAAATCTGAAACGAAAAGAACATTGCCAGGTAACTTTATAGAATAACAGCAGCATTTTTATAAGAGTCGCATTAGACAAGAGAGTTACAGTATATTACAGAACAATAATTTATATATACTAGGGTTTTTATCCGTGTATTTATCCCTTTAGTTATTCCAATCCATCTTTTTTTGTGCGAAATAATTGGCACTTTATTTTGTGTGATACATACATAACTTTACTCAATGACCGTGATATAATGTACTATTCCGAAAAGTTGGTTTTCTCATTAGACTATGCCTCCTATGATATCCACACCAACTTGTATGTTTTCTACGGGATATACAAATATATATAATATATATAATTTCATAAAATCCAACAAAAAAGAACCTATTAAGCCTTTATAACATAGAATAAGATTTACGTTTGCTATCTTTGTTTAGTGGTTTTTGGTGGTCGGTTTGTGTAGTGGAAAGCACATGCCTTTCACAATGACGGAAGGGATAAATACAAGTTGGAAAACCTGATTCATAATTGTTATTAATAAATAATGTATGAAGTTTAATCAGTTACCTAAGAAATATTTTTAAAAAGATACACGGCAGATTTACCATGTATGTGTGAAATAGCCTAGCACCCATCATGCTATTGCGTCGAATAATGCACGTGTAGAACAGTTTGAGATGTGTTAAAATAGGGAGGATACCTATATGTACCCTGCTCATCTTTAGTACAGTTACATTGACCGTAGCAACTGGTTCAACGTCTATTGCACACATTATATTAGATTGCCATCAGAGAATATGTGGACGGACACACATGGTGGATACTATATGGCACCGACATTTTTGATGCGGGTCCTAATAAATTGTTAGATTCTTACGACATATTTCCTGGTCACGACGATCCTCTCCTCCCGTGCGGTGGTGTAGATTTGCCAAATCGCCGTACCAATTACACTCACCTACAATATTCATATTGATCCATTATAACCCGAACTCAAAAATACATCCCATTAGGTTCATGGAAAAACTTTAACGTTTTCTGCATAATCAATGGTCTCTATTCGAACTGACAAGGACATAAACAAAACATTATAAATTACAATGACGTCACAATAAAAGATGATCTTTACCGCTATCTCGCAAAGGTCACTCTTTAACATAATGATTCATATTCTCTTACAATATCTATATTGAAATATTATATACAATAACATCTACGTATGTGTAGTAAGTGTATGTAGACTTTTGGAAGTTTACTCGATTAGTGGTGCCTACAATGCACACAACTAGTGGGGACGCTTACAACACTACCAACGTATTTTGTCAAACTACTAGAGTACGTAAAAGCACTGCTGAAGTAATTGCCAAACTGCTAGAGTACTTTATAACACTGCTAGATTAGTTTGTCAAACTGCTAGAGTACTTTATAACACTGCTACTTTCTCAAACTGCTGGAGTATGTTATAACACTGCTAGAGTACTTTATCAAACTTCTAAAGTACTTTATATCACTGCTAGATTAGTTTGTCAAACTGCTAGAGTACTTTATAACATTTCTAGATTACTATGTTTAACTGTTAGAGTACTTTATATCACTGCTAGAGTACATTGTCAAACTTCTAAAGTACTTTATATAGCTGCTAGAGTACATTGTCAAACTTCTAAAGTACTTTATATCACTGCTAGAATACATTGTCAAACTTCTAAAGTACTTTATATCACTGCTCGAGTACATTGTCAAACTTCTAAAGTACTTTATATCACTGCTAGAGTACATTGTCAAACTTCTAAAGTACTGTATATCACTGCTAGAGTATATTGTCAAACTTCTAGTACTTTATATCACTGCTAGAGTACATTGTCAAACTTCTAAAGTACTTTATATCACTGCTAGATTAGTTTGTCAAACTGCTAGAGTACTTTATAACATTGCTAGATTACTATGTTAAACTGCTAGATGACTTTATATCATTGCTAGAGTACTGTATATCACTGCTAGAGTACATTGTCAAACTGCTAAAGTACTGTACATCACTGCTAGAGTACATTGTCAAACTTCTAAAGTAATTTATATCACTGCTAGAGTGCATTGTCAAACTTTTAAAGTACTTTATATCACTGCTAGAGTACATTGTTAAACTTCTAAAGTATTTTATAACACTGCTAGAGTACATTGTCAAACTGCCAGAGTACTTTATAACACGTCTAGAGTACATTGTCAAACTGTGAAAGTACTTTATAACACTGCTAGAGTAGACTGCAAAACTGCTAGTGTACTTTGTAACACTGCTAGAATAATTGTCAATATGCTAGAGTATTTTATAACACTGCTAGAGTAGTTTGTCAAACTGCTGGATTACTGTATAACACTGCTAAAGTATGCTGTCAAACTGTTAGAGTACGTAATAACACTATTCAAGTATTATGTGAAATTGCTAGAGTACGTTATCACACTGTTAGAGTTGTTTGTCAATCTGATAGAGTGATTTGTCAAACTGCTAGAGTATTTTGTAACACTGCTAGAGTACTCTAGTATAACACTGCTACAGTACATGGTCAAACTGCTAGATTACATTTTCAAGCTGATAGAGTACTGTATATCACTGCTAGAGTACGTCTTCAAACTGTTAGAGTACTTTATAACACTGCTAGAGTACATTGTCAAACTTCTAAAGTACTTTATAACACTGCTAGAGTGCATTGTTAAACTGCTAAAGTATTTTATAACACTGCTAAAGTACCTTGTCAAACTGCTAGAGTACTTTATAACACGTCTAGAGTACATTATGAAACTGCTTAAGTACTTTAAAACACTGCTAGTGTAGGCTGCCAAACTGATAGAGTACTTTATATCACTGCTAGAGTACATTGTCAAACTGCTAAAGTACTTTATTACACTGCTAGAGTAGACTGCAAAACTGCTACAGTACGTTATAACACTGATAGAGTACATTGTCAAACTTCTAAAGTACTTTATATCACTGCTAGAGTACATTGTCAAACTTCTAAAGTACTTTATATCACTGCTAGAGTACATTATAACACTGCTAGATTACATTTTCAAGCTGATAGAGTACTGTATATCACTGCTAGAGTACGTAGTCAAACTGCTAGAGTGCTCTATATCACTGCTAGAGTACATTGTCAAACTTCTAAAGTACTTTATAAAACTGCTAGAGCACATTGTCAAACTTCTAAAGTACTTTATTTCACTGCTAGAGTACATTGTCAAACTGCTTGAGTACATTATACCACTGCTAGAGTACATTGTCAAACTGCTGAAGTACTTTATAACACTGCTAGAGTAGATTGCCAAACTGCTAAAGTACTTTATTACACTGCTAGAGTAGACTGCAAAACTGCTAGAGTACTTTATATCACTGCTAGAGTGCATTGTCAAACTGCTAAAGTATTTTATAACACTGCTAGAGTACCTTGTCAAACTGCTAGAGTACTTTATAACACGTCTAGAGTATATTTTGAAACTGCTTAAGTACTTTAAAACACTGCTAGTGTAGGCTGCCAAACTGATAGGGTACTTTATATCACTGCTAGATTACATTGTCAAACTACTAAAGTACTTTATTACACTGCTAAAGTATATTGTCAAACTGCTTAAGTATTTTATCACACTGTTAGAGCAGTTTGTCAAACTGCTAAAGTACTTGATTACACTGCTAGAGTAGACTACAAAACTGCTAGTGTACTTTGTAACACTGCTAGAATAGTTTGTCAATCTGCTAGAGTATTTTATAACACTGCTAGAGTAGTTTGTCAAACTGCTGGATTACTGTATAACACTGCTAGAGTAGGCTGCCAAACTGCTAGAGTACTTTATAACACTGCTAGAGTAGTTTGTCAAACTGCTATAGTACTTTATAACACGTCTAGTGTACATTTTGAAACTGCTTAAGTACTTAAAAACACTGCTAGAGTAGGCTGCCAAACTGCTAGAGTACTTTATATCACTGCTAGAGTACATTGTCAAACTGCTAAAGTAATTTATTACACTGCTATAGTAGACTACAAAACTGCTAAAGTATTTTATGTTATGTTATGTTATAACACTTTTAGAGTATATTGTATAACTGCTTAAGTATTTTATCACACTGCTAGAGTAGTTTGTCAAACTGCTTGATTACTGTATAACACTGCTAGAGTTGTTTGTCAATCTGATAGAGTGATTTGTCAAACTAATAGAGTATTTTGTAACACTGCTAGAGTACTCTAGTATAACACTGCTACAGTACGTGGTCAAACTGCTAGATTACATTTTCAAGCTGATAGAGTACTGTATATCACTGCTAGAGTACGTTGTTAAACTGCTAGAGTACTTTATAACACTGCTAGAGTACTTTGTCAAACTGCTGGAGTACTTTATAGCACTGCTAGAGTTCATTGTCAAACTGCTACAGTACTTTAAAATACTGCTATAGTACGTTATAACACTGCTAGAGTATTTTGTAACACTGCTAGAGTAGTTTGTCACACTGCTGGATTATGTTATAACACTTTTAGAGTATATTGTCAAACTGCTTAAGTATTTTATCACACTGCTAGAGCAGTTTGTCAAACTGCTAAAGTACTTTATATCACTGCTAGATTACATTGTCAAACTGCGAAAGTACTTTATTACACTGCTAGAGTAGACTGCAAAACTGCTAGTGTACTTTGTAACACTGCTAGAATAGTTTGTCAATCTGCTAGAGTATTTTATAACACTGCTAGAGTTGTTTGTCAAACTGCTGGATTACTGTATAACACTGCTAGAGTTGTTTGTCAATCTGATAGAGTGATTTGTCAAACTACTAGAGTATTTTGTAACACTGCTAGAGTACTCTAGTATAACACTGCTACAGTACGTGGTCAAACTGCTAGATTACATTTTCAAGCTGATAGAGTACTGTATATCACTGCTAGAGTACGTCTTCAAACTGCTAGAGTACTTTATAACACTGCTAGAGTACTTTGTCCAACTGCTGGAGTACTTTATAGCACTGCTAGAGTTCATTGTCAAACTGCTAAAGTACTTTAAAATACTGCTAGAGTACGTTATAACACTGCTAGAGTATTTTGTAACACTGCTAGAGTAGTTTGTCACACTGCTGGATTATGTTATAACACTTTTAGAGTATATTTTCAAACTGCTAAAGTATTTTATCACACCGCTAGAGCAGTTTGTCAAACTGCTAGAGTACTGTATAACACTGCTAGAGTAGGCTGCCAAACTGCTAGAGTATTTTATATCACTGATAGAGTAGTTTGTCAAACTGATAGAGTACTGTATATCACTGCTAGAGTACGTCTTCAAACTGATAGAGTACTTGATAATACTGTAAGAGTACTGTTAACACATTCTAGACTCGTTCTATCAATACGATATGAAATGGGATCTCGTGTAAAATCGTATACTGACATTCATATTTAATCAGAGACTCTGACAGAAAATGTACGTACCATGAAGATGTTGATTACTCCGCCCAGCAGTAAGTAGTACGTGTCAATCTCCCCATTGTCGAAGGGTCTGGCGAGGAAGAATCCTGCAATACCCGCAGTTATTACCATCAAAAGTATTAACCACCAAGTGCGGGCCGCTTTGGACTCCTCGTCTGTATTAAAACATTTGTTATTTATATGTATGTATATTTGTAAACATGTTTAATAATGTTGTTTATAAGTATCTGGCACGACAGTTTTATAGTAATGTCTTTTAAAGCCGATTATGATATTAATATGAAAGAATTTTCAGGCTTCTAAGAACATTTCTGGATTTGTTTTATGCTTGATAGGTCGTTGGTCAATCAGGTAATACACTGTTGCACGTTATTCTAACGAATTATTTGAGATATACTGAGTTCGGGATACTTCGTCAACTGCAACTCGAATATTGGAAATCGAAAGCAATTGGGCTTTTGAAGACTATATATACATAATAATCAAGGACTGTGTGTACTGTTTTCAAGGTAAATGAAATTGACTGTTTAAATAAAAGTGTTGATTGCTGGGTTTCTGTATTGGTAACTTAAATGATAAAATGTGATATTTACAGACAATTAATCAAACAAATCAATAATACTGATAATCCTGTAAAGGTAGGTCCATAAACTCGTCTATATTTAAACATGGATTAGGGTGTTTAACATTCAAATAAATCGAGAAGTACTTATATTATTTCAGAATTTCTGATATATGTATTCCAGCTTGACACAATAATGTTTATCTCTGATGAAACTTCCATTTCATCATACAAATGTAATTGCATAAAATCTCTGATCAAATGTGTGTCAGTTTGTTATATATTTCGGGCATTATTAGGGGCATTCCGATTCACGTCTTCAAATCAAACCCTTGTAATGAACATCACTGTGATCACAGAGACATGCAATGTACCTAAACTGTAACTCACCGGCAGTATTAGGACGCATCTCACATAGTCGAGGGCGCCACAGTCAACAGTACCATCATTAACACCTGAAGCAGATAAGTGACAAATTAATTTTAACATTTATTTCTTAATACATAGCAAAGTTGGGAAATAGTTTTAAAACATTCTAATTTATTTGCGTTATCATGGTTTTTTTGTATTGATCGATTTCGAACATCTGTAAAATTTTATTGTTTTGAAAAAAAAGGTAGAAGTAGATCTTTCATTAATTCATTCACAATCAAGGTAAGTTAGCATTTCTTTGAATCGCATCTTTTATTTGCTTATGTATCTCCTGGTTGTAATGATGATGTCTTGAAAAGAAAAGAAATAGTTATAAGGTCATTTTTTTCTGTAGAGTCCTAGACGTTTTATAAGGATACTTTACCATGTCATTAATAAATTACTTTCTGTAGAGTCCTAGACGTTTTATAAGGATACTTTACCATGCCATTGATAAGTTACTTTCTGTAGAGTCCTAGACGTTTTATAAGGATACTTTACCATGTCATTGATAAACTACTTTCTGTAGAGTCCTAGACGTTTTATAAGGATACTTTACCATGTCATTGATAAGTTACTTTCTGTAGAGTCCTAGACGTTTTATAAGGATACTTTACCATGTCATTGATAAGTTACTTTCTGTAGAGTCCTAGACGTTTTATAAGGATACTTTACCATGTCATTGATAAGTTACTTTCTGTAGAGTCCTAGACGTTTTATAAGGATACTTTACCATGTCATTGATAAGTTACTTTCTGTAGAGTCCTAGACGTTTTATAAGGATACTTTACCATGTCATTGATAAGTTACTTTCTGTATAGACGTTTTATAAGGATACTTTACCATGTCATTGATAAGTTACTTTCTGTAGAGTCCTAGACGTTTTATAAGGATACTTTACCATGTCATTGATAAGTTACTTTCTGTAGAGTCCTAGACGTTTTATAAGGATACTTTACCATGTCATTGATAAGTTACTTTCTGTAGAGTCCTAGACGTTTTATAAGGATACTTTACCATGTCATTGATAAGTTACTTTCTGTAGAGTCCTAGACGTTTTATAAGGATACTTTACCATGTCATTGATAAGTTACTTTCTGTAGAGACGTTTCATAAGGATACTTTACCATGTCATTGATGAGTTACTTTCTGTATAGACGTTTTATAAGGATACTTTACCATGTCATTGATAAGTTACTTTCTGTAGAGTCCTAGACGTTTTATAAGGATACTTTACCATGTCATTGATAAGTTACTTTCTGTATAGACGTTTTATAAGGATACTTTACCATGTCATTGATAAGTTACTTTCTGTATAGACGTTTTATAAGGATACTTTACCATGTCATTGATAAGTTACTTTCTGTATAGACGTTTTATAAGGATACTTTACCATGTCATTGATAAGTTACTTTCTGTATAGACGTTTTATAAGGATACTTTACCATGTCATTGATAAGTTACTTTCTGTATAGACGTTTTATAAGGATACTTTACCATGTCATTGATAAGTTACTTTCTGTATAGACGTTTTATAAGGATACTTTACCATGTCATTGATAAGTTACTTTCTGTAGAGTCCTAGACGTTTTATAAGGATCCTTTACCATGTCATTGATAAGTTACTTTCGGTCGAGTCATAGACGTTTTATAAGGATACTTTACCATGTCATTGATAAGTTACCTCTTTCTGATAGCGTTGTCTTCATGTATGTATTGCAGTTACATTTTTAATTTTTATTTTCCCATGATGCAAAACACGCTTTCAGTATTATGTTATCTCGTGAAAACAACCCAGAATTACACACGTCTTTACAAGTTCGAGTTTTACAGCTTTAACTATAGTTTTGTTTCAAAGAAAACATTTTAGCTTATTTTATTTCGAAACAGTCCAATTTAGTTTTAACACAATTATAAAATGGTATATCTATATAACCTTATACCCTCCACCATCTGTCCCTCAATCTGGATATTGGACAAACTTAAGCTATAAGGGGTTTCAATTAAGATTTATCTACAAAACTAAGCTGTTTCGAAACCAACAATATTTTACCCTCAGCATTATTCCTTCATCATAACAACATACAGTTTTAGTAATTTCGACTATTGAATTTTATTTAGATATATATCATCAATTAAAATAAATGATTTAGCGATTTTGTAATCTATATTGAATGGAGAAATAAACTGTCTCTCCTTTTGGTTAACATACCTGATCCCTTGTCTCTGTGGTATTGATAGTTATTGTTTTAATAAATGCATGGTTAATCGACCTCATCGCACTGCAATATAACCAAATTGGTTCCCAAAAAAATGAAATACTCTGATAAAATATCATCCTATCATGGATTTTTATTAGTTTTCATTTAATGTAATATTTCCTTCTAATCTTTTTTGTTTGTTTCCAAAGCAATATTTTTTTCTCCATTCTCCTGCGACGCACCCTAACATATAACTTTCAATATTTGTTTTGGAGAGACTGTTTTAAAATATACCGTTGTACAGATGAACATATACAACTAGAATAGAATTGTTTAAAATTAAATATGATAACCTCACCCATTCTTAATTTCAATAACTGATGATTAAATAAATATTTTATTGCTAATTGTGTAGATAATTTATCATTGTATGAGTAAACGCAGCTAATAGGCCATGCCTCTATTATAATGATAAATATAAACCAAGGAAATTATTGCCACGAAAGAATTATGCTTGATATACATGTACTAAGGGTATTTTATAAATTTCAATTGGCAAATAATACTCCCATGTGTATAAAATTCTAAAAACGTTAAGTCTCTGCTATTTAAGGAGGAATGAGCGGGTGAATACTTAATATTACAAAACATTCTTATTCGTTTACCATTACGGGTGCCTGGAATAAATTTCATATAACCATATTTTTATAAAACATGTGATACCTTAGATCCAGTCGCAGAACTTTACCTCATTAGTGTTCTAATAGATTTCTGGTAGGTTATTCATCATCACCAAATTCCATGTAAACTGATCAACACTGTCGAATAAAGATGCATGTCATTCAAATTAAATGTCATCAAACAAAACACAATGGATAAAATCATCTTACAGACACTAGATCATATTTCAACTCTGAACGTAAGTATATAAGTACTCCGCTACTCATCGTTAACCAACTGCCAGCTCCAGGGCCTAGTGTTCGGGCACCCAGGGTGTTTATGTATACAGTCATCTATCAAACCCCTTATGTATACATATGTAATATCCCCGATCAATTCTGGTGTATACCTATCAATGTGTGATAATTAAGGGGCATACAGCACACATACAAACACAGATGACTAGGTACGTATAGCAAAGTACAACAACCAAATGTTGCCTTTTCAATAATTGATAAGACCACGGGAAGCTGATATTCTATCGATAGGTCCTGCGTGCAATAAGCCATAATGAAATGCTCTTTGTACGCTGAGGAGGCGCTATATGCACGAAACGATAGCTAGGTCGATAACATAACTCGGCCATGTGTACAATTAGGCAGATCCTGAACGTTTAATTCATAAACCACTCATTATCCTTAATAATATATAATGTCTTTTGTTTGTGTTGATTATAATGTACGTATACATAGTAAGGTTTTGACAAAAGGTCCAATACTGGTTTACTAAACTATGAAGTGAAAGTGGATGCAGTATTCTACACTTCACACACATATGTATGTGAAAGTTGCGAGTATGATGAAACCTGGCCAGGTGGTTGCGTATGATTGCGTTGGTGAAAGTATATGGGTGAAAGCTTCAATGAAAGGGTTATGATAAAGTTATCAAATATATCTACCGTGTGTGTTCGAAGGGCTCTTTCTAACTTCCTTCCATACTTTACTTAACCGTGTTCCCATTGGATGACCCCTTCTCTTGGTAAACCCTTTCTGATTGGCTACACTTGTCTACAAAACATACGAGCACATTGGTTAAATAAACCATTAAAAAAAATACTAATATAAATAGCCTACTAGCAGAGGCAGGTGAACCTCCGTTAACCCTTCGACGGGAAAATCTTACGCTAAAGTATTGGGCTAGAACTCAGAATCATGGTGAAAAATTCCTTCTAAATCAGGCTATTAAAAATAGTTCAGTACCCCTCACTAGGACGAGGGCACCGTATCCTTCAGAAATACAAAGGTTAAAACAGAAATACGGTGTGGAAAATGTTAAAATCTCCCGTAAAACGGAATTTCAGGTGCCATGGCTTAAAACAGAAGCAAACGTATCACTCGACTTACTCAAAGTAATAGATAAACAAAATGACCCAATTGCAGCAAAACATTTATCTCTTGAACTAATAAACAACAAATATGCTAATTTTACTCAATTTTTTACTGATGGTTCCAAAAATCCAGCTAATGAAAGAGTAGGATTAGGCATTTATAATAACTTCTTCAAAATAAATAAGTCACTGCGTATAAGCGACAGAACATCAGTATACACAGCAGAACTAATGGCTATCCAAATTGCACTTATAGGCATTATGAAAAATCATAATAAATTTAACCAAGTTGCCATCCTTTCGGACTCGCTTAGCTCACTTCAGTCAATAGTATCAGGTAATAGCAGTAGACCCAAATTACTCAGCGCCATTCAATTCATGATCACGCAAATAAAGGAACTAGGAATTATTCTAAATTTCGAATGGATACCATCGCACGTAGACATACCGGGAAATGAAAAAGCGGATACACTCGCAAAAGCAGCTTTAGGGTCAGATGTTATACATCTTAACGTAGACTTAAGTATATCTGAAGTTGTCAGTATTATCAACATTAAAACACAATTGATATGGTAGGAAAGTTGGTCAAAACTTAAAAATAATTGGCTTAGAGCGATTGATGAATGTGTTCGAAATAAAACGCAACTATACAGGAAAAATAAAACAGAAGAAACTGTCATTACCAGACTCAGATTGGGATATACCAAATTAGGACATAATATTAACCGGTTAAAAAAAGAAGAGGTAGATCCAGATTGTCCAAACTGTGGTGAACCCGAAACCATAAACCACATATTATTCTACTGTTACACCCATAATAGCCATAGGGCAGATTTACAAGATCAAGTCGAACAAACAGATAACTTCAATTTTGATTTAAAATCGTTATTAAATCCACCAAAAATACACATGAAACTTGTATACTAATATTTGATCAACTACCTCACTGCCATAGATTATATCGGAAAAATTTAAGTCAGTGATACAAAACAAGGATAGGTAAGAAATCATGAAGATAGTTACAATAAAGTTGCCATATCATACATATAAGTATAGGATCCTCTGATAGACAATAGCTTGCTGTAACGTCTTTGTTACGACCTCAGGTGGGGAGTTCTGTTCATTACAGCTATCTCCTATCCCACAGTGACCTAGTGTTTTAACGAAGGAAATTAAAAATAACCAGAATAAAA